ACTTTTTTTTTTTTTAATTGATTTTTTAGAGAGGAAGGGAGAGGGAGAAAGAGATCAAAACATCAACGATAAGAGAGAATCATGGATCGGCTGCCTCCTGCACGGGCCTGTGCCCTTGGCCAGAATCGAACCTGGGACCTTTCAGTCCACAGGGCGACGCTCTATCCATTGAGCCAAACCAGCCAGGGCCAGGACTTTTAAAAAATATATATATTTTTATTGATTTCAGAGAGGAAGGGAGAAGGAGAGAGAGAAACATCCATGATGAGAGAGAATCATGGATCGGCTGCCTCCTGCACGCCCCCCACTGGGGATCGAACCTGCAACCCGGGCCTGTGCCCTGACCGGGAATTGAACCCGGGACCCTTTGGACCGCAGGCCGGTGCTCTATCCAAGGAGCCCCACCGGCCGGGCAGGACTCTCTTTCTTTGTTTAAAACGCCCTCCACGTCATCCCTCTTCCGTTCCCATTAAGCAGCACGTTCTGCACCAGTCCTTCTGTTCCGGACCGGACTGCTTCCTGCCATCGGAAACCACCGTTTCAAAGCCGGAGGGAGGGAGAGGCCGGAAGAGGTTCTCCTTATGCCCGTGAGGCCTCCTCTTTCTAAGAACCAGGCTCACAGCCTGGCCCGGCTCCGGGAGCGGCACCGAAAGGTCAAAAAGTCACGGGTTCAACTCCAGGTCAAGGGCAGGTCCCTGGGCTGCAAGGGCAACCCATGGATGGATGTTTCTCTCTCTCTTCTCCCTCCCTTCCACTCTCTTTTAAAAAATCAATGGAAAAAATACCCTCAGGTGAGAATTAACAACCAAAAAAAAAAAAAAAAAAAATTAAAAAAAACCAAACCTTCTCGGGTAAGGATTAAAAAAAACTTTTTTTAAAAAAAGAACACTTAGAAAAACATAGCTATCGCCCTGGCTGGTGTTGCTCAGTGGTGGATAGAGCGGCCTGCGGACTGAAGGGTCCCGGGTTCGATTCCGGCCAAGGGCACAGGCCCAGGTTCCGGGCTCGATCCCCAGGGTGGTGGGTGCAGGAGGCGGCCGATCCATGATTCTCTGTCATGGATGTTTCCATCTCTCACTCCCTCTCCCTTCCTCTCTGAAATCAATAAAAATATATTTTAAAAAAAGGACAAAACCATTCTCTAAGAAAAAAAAATCAATGGGAAAATATCCTCGGGCGAGGATTAACAAAAAAGAGTGAAATAAAATAAAATAAAGTAACATGAATAAAATAAATAGAATAGAATAAAATCATAAATAAAATAAATAGAATAAAGTAAAATCAGAAAATAAAATAACATGAATAAAATAAAATAAATAGAATAAAATAAAATCAGAAAATAAAATAAAGTAACATGAGTAAAATAAAACAAATAGAATAGAATAGAATAAAGTCATAAATAAAATAAATAGAATAAAATAATAAAATAAAATAAAATAAAACTATTGACGTGGGAACCCGGCGCGTCTCCTGCCGAGCGGACCCTCCTGTCGGGGTGCGGG